AACAACAGATTCCTGAAAAAGTGAGATCCAATTTTGTGCTAGTCATGGTACAAAAGCTCTTCAAATTCATATTTTTACTGTTGAATTTGTGAGAAATATTTAGATTCTAATCTGTAGGTGAAATAAATACACCCTTATTTAAAACTTGATGCTGATTCTTAAGTCTGGCTGCAGGCACAGGTGTTTCTACTGATTGGGGAATTACAAGCAAGCTGTATGTTATAGGCAGGGAGAAGAGTAGGGGTGGAGTCTGGGGGAGAAGTTTTAAGTAAATGAGAGTTTGTTGGAAGTGAACAAATTTGCAGGACTAGGAGGAATGTAATGAGCTTGAGCTTCTGTGGTAGGTACTCTGAAAGGGTGAAGTTTATGTGGTGAAAGTATCTCGAAATGTGGGGAAACTTTCAAAATGGTAATGGAATGATATGGCTTAGGAAACCTTCTGAGATGGTATTGTGTTGCTAGGAAATGGGATAAGACTTTCTGCCTCTTTTGGTTTACGTGCTAGAACTTTGCTTCTAGAAATGGCTTCAGTGTTTTGGAGTGGTGCAAATTAGACCTGCTTTAGGTCAGCTTGTTGGAGGCTGCGGGTCTCTCTGGCTGCACTGGAGTTGCTGGCCTGGGAGACAGTTATGGGGGAGGTTTGAACTACGTATTCTTTCTCTTTTGGTGATCATCTTATGAGAAATTCTTAATTATTTCAGAAACGTTCCCACTGTTGCAGTTGCAAGGATGTTGGCAAAGTAACTTTTCTGTGTCAGACTCCTGCACTAAGGTAAGACTAATCTCAGGAAATACAAATGTAAGATTATTTTCTAGTTCTGACATTGGCTGGTAAAAACATAATAAGTTTTGCATTCATAAAATAACTTAAAACTATCTCTGGAAAAGCTAATCAGTAACAAGATTTTTTTTAATTGCCTTTATAGTTGCTGGCTTGTTGTTTACACTTCTGCTTATTAGTACTGAACTAATGGGATTTTCTTTTTTACTTGGTCTCTTGACCTTCATTTGAGGGACTTCTGTACTTCAGAAGGTATTGGAGGAGGCTATCATATTTTAAGACCTAAGTTTTTTCTGTTTCAAAGCAATTGCTTTTGTAGTGCCTCGTATAGAAATATTCCATTCCACCATTTTCTAGTCAGTGCAGTTTTTTATAATGGATGTATGTAACCTAGAAGAAAAATTACCAGTGCAATCCAATTTAAAATGTAATTTGTTGCCTCGGATATTATATTGATTTGCAGTTGTAATCAGGATTGTTTTCCAAACAGTTGCATAGCTTTTTAAGATGCCCAGAGAGAACTCATTATTTTAGCTGTTCTTAAGCTGAAATGTATTCCTCTCCCTTCTAGGCATATTAATAAATTATTTGAAGAGGTTAGCCTGAAAACTGAAGTTATTTGGTACAGAGTAGTACTTCGTATGCCATAAGCACTGTGAGTGTATAGCAAAAGCGTAGCAAGCATCAAGAATACTGAATATCTCAAAGTACTGTGGAATATTTGAAAGTTTTGTTCATTGGATTCCTTTAAGTAAAAAGCTTATAGTTAGCTTATTATGTCTGAGTGGTGTTCAGCTGTATTGAGGTCTTTATTTTTTTATCAATTCACCATTTCCTGAAAGCATTAAAGGAATTTTTTTTTTTTTTTGCTTCTACTATGTGATGGAGGCAGTGCTGACAGTAGCTCTTCAGTTGGTGATAATGAAATGATCTTAGGGTGGGATGTGATGAGTTACATAATTCTCAAATCTGGATTCAGTATTGTTGTTCATCAACGTTTAAAAAGTCCAAGTTTATAAAGGGAGGGCTGGTAAACCAAGTGTCTTTATATATTTCTAGCTATCGTTTGTACCTGCATGTAGATGTTTTCTTTCTTGTTCAAGTTGGTAATAAAACTCTTATAGTGACTAAGGAATTTTCTTAAAGAAACAGGCCTTGTTACAGCAAAAGTAATCAACATCTCCCTTTGTTTCCCATTGCCTAAGCTAAATTAAAAAAAAAAAAAAAAAAAAAAAAGCCAGAGGAAATTGCTCTTATTTTTATCTTGTGTTTGTCTACTGTGTTGTAAGGCTTCTCTGCAGATGATACAGCTGGGCTGCAGTAGCCAGATAATTTGCACAGAGTAATTCATGTAGCTTATTAGTGGAAACACTTAACACCTGAGATGAATTGGAGGGCTACATAAGAATTTAACTCCAGAGCTTGATTGGAACCAGTTGCAAATACTTTGGATTCTGGGTGTCTTTGTTGTTTTGTTTTTTTTTTTTTTTTTTTTTTTTTTTTTTTTTTT